GCGAGTTCTACTGTAGCAGTCGGCGACTTCAGTTGTACAGCCGCCGAGTTATAACGTGGCCATCGCCGAAGATAGTTCCGAGCAAGCTTACGAGAGCGTGTTATCAACAGTTCTCCAGTCAGCGGACTATAGTTGGAGTATAGCAGCCGTCGCGGTAAGAAGATCTGGACGTGTGTGCGATTGTGTAAGGAGGGAGCGTGTGATACAGTGATACAAAGCTCCCCTACGGTAAACGTGTAGACTACTGAAGACAGAGTGAACTGATTTGCGCATAGGGTTATAAGTCGTGAAACCCCGCAACAGTGTTAACAGATTAATGCGATTAGGGTTATAAAGTGTGAAACCCCGCAACTGTGAGATAAGTAATTGTAGCCGTTATTTGTAGATTGTTAAATAAACCAATTAACCATCTCTACGGCATATTCAGTAATGAAACACGTTACAATATGTAAACTAACCAGGTCACACGTCAGTCATTCACATTAAGCATAAAGATGTTAATTTATCCAAAACACTGGCAACTTATCCTTCAAGAGCACAGAACCATTCCCCACACCTTCAAAACAGTGGAATTTGGTAATCCAAATTCGGCACATACATAAATTTTCCAAATGTATTCTTTGGAATTCTGTATATGTATGTGTGTAAGGGGTGATCCATAAAATCTGGCCCTTGCACTGTGACCTTCAATGATCTTTCACAGGCCTTGATACTCACTTACTGACATATACTTTAATTATTATAATGAATGTCTTCTGTTGTAAAACTTGTCATACATGCTCCAAAAAAGGCTATCAGAGTGATGTTGGGATATCGCAATAGAATTTTGTGTAGAAACATATTTAAATAGTTAAATATTTTATCATTTGCATCACAATATATATATTTCTTAGTATTTATATTGCAAAATAAAGTTCTTTTTCCATCAAACATTGATTTTCTCATACTATTGATAATATACAGAAACAAGATTTATATTTACCTCAAGCTAATTTAACAATTTATTGGTACATTGAATGCGAAGGAAGCTTCTGTCTGAATGTGTGTCTCTAAGCTCTTACACAAGTACACATTGATGCTATATAGTCTAATACTGACAGCGTTGTTAAACAACAAACTAAAGACAGATGTCCACTTCTAATCTGGTTGCTTCCTTCATGCATATACAGCATGTTCAGTCAATAATGTACGCTACTAAAATCATGGCCATGCCATAGCTCAGGTAGTTGGTCGCCAGGTTTCCAACATGGCAGCCTGGGCTCGATCCAAGGTCATATTATGGGGGTTCATGGTGGACACAGAAGCAACAGAAAATGTCTTCTCCACGTGCTTTGGTTTCCCCTGCCAATTCTCATTCCACTAAATGCTCTATACTCATCTATCAACATGGGCTAGTACAATACAACAGTCAGTGGCTAAAGTATCAAGTAGACTCAGTGTCACTGCACCCAAAAGAATTATTAAAATCATAATTTCTTCAGTTCTGTGTGAAAAAATTATAGAAGTATCTCATATTCATAAGTAATTATGAAGGTTTAAACATTTTAATACAAGAAATGAAGGGAGATACAAAAATTATTATCACAGAGCACCATTGAGAATACTAATTAAATGTCCATGTTAGTATTCACTGCTGCTTTGCAAGATGTGTTTAAAAATATTAAGGACTCTTCTGCTGACAAAAATGATAATTCTGGCTCTCACTGTTAAACTTCAAGCACCTACTAGTTAAAGAAAATATTACTAAATGTTTTTAGTTTTTGAATTTGCATATATTATAACTTCCTTGGGCAAGGGATGCAAAATTCAAAACATTCCAAGATAAGGAAATTCTTTGGTATGAAGTTCTATGGATAATGGGTCCAATACCATACCAACAAACCACTGCAGACTTTTATAACCCACTGCCATTTAATGTTCATCAACAATTCCAACATGGCATCCATACAAAATATATGAGTTGGTGGCAACATAATACAATTCACTGTAAATGTTCCTGAAGTTTTATAAGCAAACAGAGCTTTGAAAATTATGTAAATTTTATGAACATTTAATTTTAGAAAAATGTAAAAATAACACATTGGTTCCGTGAAATATTTTAATCTGATAATGGAAACTAAGGAATAACTTAACAAGAAAACTTCCTGGCTCTTGCAAAACTTCTGCTGGTAGCGTATGTGGTTTAGTACTTACATTGTCTAATCCTTCAGAACTCTAAAATGCACTATGCCTACAGCAAGTGTTTTAATGCTTATTTTATATGCCCAAGTTGTTGTTATAGACCCACTCATATTAGCAGTAAATTACTCACCAATTGGTGGTCCCGAAGGCGTGGAAGGTGTTGTGGCTGCTGAGGAAGATGTAGTAGAACGCAATCCTCTACCTGCTAGTAAATGTACCCACAACAAGCCACTTACTCCAGGCTCTGAAGCCACAACAGAGTCACCACCCAATGCTCCAAGAGCACTAGATGGTTTATCCGTCTTGTATTTGAGGAATTCTACAGAAACAGAAAATAAATGTGGCAGAAAATTTTTCTGAATTGTTCTCCCAAAAACTAGAAACTTCTGATCTCTGTCAACATGTATTCTCTTCATAACATTTCCATTACTAAAAAGACATTTATGTAAATACCTCATTCCAGAGTAATCATGTACAAAATTTATAATTTATTATTACTACTTTCCTAAACTTTGACCACCATAAAAATCAGAAAATTATATTTTAGAGGTTGGATATGCTCCTATCTTCAAATCATGAGCTACTATTCACCTGAATCTACTAGAATGAGCTAATTCCAATTACTAGAATAGCCTATTTGAATTATGTCATAACTTAGATTGACTTAAAAACTTGCCTTATAATAATATTCGTAACTATAAATCAATAATACAACCTAACGAAGAGAGATTACTGGACACCAAGGTTTAAAAAATATCTATCTAGGGTCAATTACTGCAGACCAAGATTCAGTATAGGTATTTCACAAGTCTGATGCCTTGGGAGGTGTTAGAACATAACAGTCCAAATTCTTTTGAATTTGAAATAAATTGAATTGAATTGAATCTTACCCCTGCAAGTTTCATGTTTTTATGAAATAGCAGGCAGATAAAATATTTTCAAAATCTGCAAGTGAGAACTAGATTTTACATGAAACCAATAATGAAGTTTGAATAGTTAATCTTGCCACATTCAAAAATCTAATTATCAAGGGTATATGTTTCCACATTGCAGCAACCACAAATTTATCTGGGCATTACCTGAGGGAAAGAGACACAGTCAGAATAACCATATTTTGAAACTGGAGATGGCATTCAAGTGTAATTGATGTATCATCTTTCAGGGGGGCAGACTATGACACCAGTCACTGTCTGGTGGTTGGAAAAGTTAGAATATTGAAAAATTCAGCTTCAAGGAACTAAACTATGCAGAAGATAAAGAACAGCTTCAGGTTAAAATCTCAAACAAGTTTGCAGCTTTGACTAAACTATGTAGAAGATAAAGAACAGCTTCAGGTTAAAATCTCAAACAAGTTTTCAGCTTTGGAAAACTTACATGATGATACAGATATCAACAGAACTAGGGAAACTATTAGAGAGGACATAAAAATTTAAGTAAAGAGAGTCTCGATTATTATGAACTTAAGCAGCATAAACCATGGATTAACAAAGGATTTTCATAACTATTAGATTAAAGGAAATAAGTCAAATTGGAATGGTTCAAGGATCCGAACTAACTAAATGAGATAATGTGAACAATATGACGTGAAGCTATTAGGCATTTCAGGAACAAAAAGAGGGAATACCTGAATGATAAAATTAATGAGCTTGCAACATACATTAATAACATGAACATTGGAGATTTACATACAAGTAAGAACAAATTTAACAAGGGCTACTAAACTAGAACTAAATAACTAAAGATTAAAATGATGATCCGCTTGCAGATTCCCAAAATAATTTCAAAAGGAAAATAAATTTATTCTCTCAGCTGCTGGATGCACATAGGGTTAATGATGTCAGACAGCTGGAAATATATGAAGTTGAGCAATTAGTACCTCAACCTAGTCCTTCTGAGGTTACAACTGCTGTTGCAGAGTAGAATAGGTATAAATCACTAGCTACTGACCAAATTCAAACAGAACTTATTCAAGCACGAGGTGAAACATTACATTCTGAGATCCAAGAAAAAACTAATACTCTTTGGAATAAGAAAGAATTGCTTAAGCAGTGAATGGAATCTATTATTTTACCAATTTACAAGAACAGCAATAAATCTGGCTGCAGTAATTTTTGAGGAATATCACTGTTATCAACTGCAGACAAAATTACTGGTAATCATCAGTTTGGGTTTCAACTTCACAGATCAACTACTGACAACATTTTTTTTAATTTGTCAGATATTGAAAAAGAAAATGGGAGTCCAATGAGACAGTCCATCAGCTATTCATAGACTTCAAGATGACCTGTGATTCAGTCAGGAGGGAAGTATTATACAATATTCTTATAGAGTTCGGTATACCCATGACTCAAGTTATGTTGATTAAAATGTGTTTAAATCAGACCTATAATAATGCCTGTATATGTAAGCATTTGTCTAATATGTTGATACAAGTTGAACATTACTGATTGAACCAAATTAGTTTTTAGTTTAAATTTGCAGATTAAAACCCACCTGCAGGATTGATATCCAGCAATCTAGAGCGAGGATCTTGTGTCCGTGTGGGGGAAGGATTAGGTATATGTCTGGATTCCAGTTCCTGTTGGTGGCGTAAGCGACGCATGGAAGAGGCGCGGCTTGTAGCGGTACTGCCACTCAGACTAGCAGAGGGGACTGCGGAACGGGATGATGAGTACTGGTGCCTGTCCAAGGTACTTGTCAGGCGTGGGCGGTATGAATAATAGGGGTGCTCCTGTTGCCACACATGAAACATTTCATATCACTTTCAACACCAGTAACTTCAACATTACACATTCATATGTGATACTGCATCATGCATGTCACAGATACAAGCAAGTAATGCAAATACAACATGTTCACTACTAGCATCTCAATGGGCACTGACAAACATGGTGATCTTCCACCTAAAGACTATTAAAATAAATGTAGTATCAAAATATGTGTAATTAAATAATAAGAACTCTATACAGTTAGTGGGAATGCATAAGACCCTGCATATGTCCAGATTAGTGTTAAACAGTTTAATATTAACATGAGAACAAGCCATCTTGTTTATAGGATAGTAAGTAAATGCCATCTCAGACAACCTAACTAGAGGCAAACAATATTTGTATACAAATTTGTATGGATTATACATAACAATATAAAAATCAGAAAATCCCTATTGATATATGAATTACACATTATGCATCTAACAAGTTTAATGCCTCTAGGAACTTAAGCTTTTAGTATAATGTATCTGTGTATTGTATTGTACTTATATTTAATTGTATAGTATTACAGAGGTTTCGGTTGAAGAGAAAATCTTGTAAAACTTGATCATGCTAAGTGCACTGACCAATGAAACACCATGATGTTGACTCTTTTGAGAGTTGAAGCATGCTGGGGTACTGAATAAACAAACATTATTCTGTGTTGTAATTTGGTGGTGTTTACTAAATTTCATTAAGGGATAGTGGATTACAATGGTATAGAGTGATAAAAAATTTCTTTCTGTAGTCTGAAGATACAAAAGTTAAATATATAGGAATTGTGTTAACTGTCAACACAACAAATATATTCAGTTTTAATGTTCTACAATTCGATATTTATTCTTCCTACATGTTCTGGTTGTATAAGACCATCATCAGGGAGGTTCATATAGGAATACATATAGTTGTTAATAGTATATAATATGACCAGTTGAACTGGTATGGATCCATACCGGTAGTTCAATAACAATATGTATTCCTATATGTAACTGCCTGATGATGGTCTCATAAGACCGAAACAGGAATAAAGATCGAATTGTAATACATTAAAACTGAGTATATTTGTTGTGTCAGCTGTTAACAAAGCTCTTATATATAACTGGAACACACAACAGGATGCAACCAATGAAAACAAAAGTTAAGTCCATAGCCCATTATGAACAGGCTATACATTTCTGGTTTCTCTAACCTTGGGAGTATTTTGTCCAAACAAAAGAAATTTAATGAGGTCCTTTTTGCCTGCTTGACTACAGCCTGAAATACACCTTAAAATTCATGCACATATTGTAGTCACTACATAAATATTATGTGCATCTGAATAAAGATAAAAAATTAGTTGAATGTCAGTTTCACTTACAACATGGGCACTGAAGCTGTCCTCTACGTGAACTTTATATCATGGGTCTACTCTATCAAGAACCAAATAAAGCCTTTCATCATTTGAAATTTAATATTTCTTTAGTCTCAAAATACATCCATGTTCATATTAACACCACAAGAAACAGCAAATTTATTCTGTGAAAAATAACAAGAAAACTGCAAATGTTGTAATTCTTCGTATATTTTTCATTTTTAATATTCCAGAAAATCAGTTACGTACAAAACAATCTGAAGAACATTCATGATATAGGTCTTAGATAGTCTGCTCAGCACATTAACTTGAGTACATTGCAATGTATCGGGAAATCAGTGTCTACTCTTTGTTATCTTCAACTTCAATGCAACTGCATTTTACTCAGTAGAGCTTCATAGGCATTAAAAAATGGAATAATTCTGCTTTTGATACATACACAACGAAAATTTGTGAGAATATGCCAATAGGTTTCGCGATATCTGCCTGTCTGTCTGTCAGCATGTAACAACTTGTGAGAGCTGAACAGATTTTCATGAAACTGATATGGATTAGTGTTATAACTTGTAGAATTATCTTAATTTTGTAAGATTTGAGGCTTTCATGGCGGTGACTATGAAGAAAGCAGTCTTTTGGGATTTGGCACCGTGTATAAGTGGTGTTAACCGACGTTTCGGAGGATACGTTCCTCCGAAACGTCAGTTAACAACACATATACACAGTGCCAAATCCCAAAAGACTGCTTTCTTCATTATCTTAATTTTGTTTAAATTCATTAATGGACACTTTGCACAAAAATCTATATTCATTTTGGCATGAATCTCAAGTGGTACTCAAGAATTTTGGAAAGAAACTGGCAAAATTTAAATTGGTCTATAATTGGAGATTTCTTGTTTTCCCTTTTTCTTTTGTGAACAGGTGAAACTTTTGTAATCTTCATCAAATTTGGAAAGGTTCCAGAACATAAGATTTGATGCTAATTATCTTTCTGACATAATGTTGCAGATGAATTTTAGCATTATTTTTGGTATATTTATTTCTGCTAGTCTTTCAATTAAGATGTTTATCAATACATTATCATACACTGCTGTTATGTCCATAAAAACAGCTCCAACTATTTTGTTGTTTTCAAAGGCGTTTACTATGTCAGAATATAACAGTGACAGGATATCAAGGCAGGATATATTTTTCTGGAATCCAAACTGCAGGTCAGGTAGCTTTTCATGTTGTTCTAGCAACCAAATTAGTCTGCAGTTTATTATTCTTACCAGAATCTTCAGTAAGGAGGGAGTCAGTGAAATAGGCCAAAAGATTATCTCATCTGCTTTTGGATGAAAAGACTGCGTAATGTTTCCCTTCACTGGGACAATCTCCATCCTGCAGAATTTCATTGTATAAAGCTAATACTAACTTTCTCATCTCTTTTAGTAAGTATTTAATTACTTTGTGTTTGATGTCATCTAGACCTGGGTTTCATTCTTTCACAGTACCTAACACTGAATGCAGTTTTTCTATCTCTAATGGAGTATCCAAAAAGGGATCTCCATTTATGATGCCTAATACTGGTGGTTCAGTTTCTACCTAGGGAACACACAAATTTTCAATTCTTTGTTCCACTGCTATAATATTCTCTTCTTTGTATTCATTTGGTTGTGTTGCTCAATTCCACATATACATAATTTTGCTGATTTTCACCCAAGTGTAAGATTGGCTTGTGTATTGAAGGACTGAGTTACAAAATTTCTTAAAGTATTTCTTTTTAATTTTTCTTCTGAAATTTTGTCAAGATGGCAGTACTCTGCAAGACTCACAGCATAATACATGTTATCTATCCGACTTTTGTCCTTTACGTGTGCTCAGACAGTAGTTAGATATTGCTTTGAGTATGAGTTTTCCCATAACGATACTGAATAGTTTGAAGTGCAAGTGTATAAATGAAGGGGTTTTTTTTACTCTAAGACATCCCGGATATGATAGTTAAACAATGTATCCAAACCATAAAAAAGCCTTTGACTTTTATATTTAATCTGTCACTAAGTTCTGGCATCTTTCCAAATCAAAGAAAGATTGCAATAGTTCGACCTATTTTTAAAAAAGGTCAGAAACAAAATATTGCAAATTATTGACCAATCTCAATTTTGTCTGTTTTTTAAAAAATTCTTGAAATATTGATGTACAATAGAGTTGTAAATTTCTTAAATAAATTCATTCTGATATCAAATGCTCAAAATGGTTTTAAAAAAATAAATCCACGTTTACAGCAATTCAAAATTTATTGGAGAAATTCAGAAAGCTCAGGATAATAAACAACTGGCTTTTGGTATATTTTCGGGTCTATCAAAGGCTTTTGATGTCATTAATCATAACTTGCTGCTTGCAAAGTTGGAACCGTATGGACTGAGGGGAATATCTCATGTATGGACAAGATCGTATCTTACAGATAGATCACAGTTTCTTGAAATTCACTATATGGATCAAATACTTCTAAAATGAAGACAGTTACCTCATCCCTTAAAGCAATTAAAGATGGTGTACCTCAAGGTTCTGTTTTGGGACCCCTTTTATTCCTATTATTTATAAATGATCTGCCCCGAGTTATGCATAATGCAGAGGTAGTACTATTTGCTGATGATACAAATATATTGAGTACTGGAAAAAATATCTTATCATTAAATGAAAAAATTCAAAATGTAAAGAATCAATTAGAAAATTGATTTTATGAAAATTGTTTAATAATAAGCACGGATAAGTCAAAGGTATTATTTTTTCAGGGAAGTACCAGACCACTTTTTTATATAAATAATAGGGAGGTGGTTTGTTCAGTTGACGTACAATTTTTGGGTATTTGCATTACTGAAGATTTACGTTGGGCAACCCACACCAAATATGTGTGTCAAAAACTTAGCAAGACTATCTATTTGATAAAATCCCTGCGAGACTCAGTGAGCCAAACTGTTTTAAGAAATGTGTATCTCGCAAAATTTGAGTCCGTGTTGAAATACGGTATTATTTTTGGGGTGGGGTGCAAAACGACTCTTAAACTCTATTTAAACTGCAGAAAAAATATGTAAGGATGGTAAAAGGTGTTAAAAATAGAGTTTCCTATAGAAATTTGTTTCTTGAATTAAAGATTTTAACTATTACTTCCTTATATAGTTTTGAGATCTTATGTTTTATAGTAAGAAATAAGATTTATACCACCCAGTATTCTGATGTTCATGGCTAGAACACTATTCATAAACACAATTTGTGTGTACAATTTTGTAATACTGAGCATAGCAAGAGAGGGGTTATTATTATGGGAATGAAAGTAGGTAGGTCCTACCGAAAGTCATGAGCAACTTTTTTTGCATGCAACCTGGGAACAGCAGACGAAAGAGAGTACAGTGGTAGGTGGAACCAGCTGTTCCGTTAACCTTGAGTGTCTTGTGACATCAATAGCTTTCATCACGTGACCAGTATCACTCTTAACAAAATGACCGACGACATGTTGTTTCGCCAGCATGCTGTCATTGAATTTCCTGTGAAACAGGAAATCCCTGCTGCAGAAATTCATCAAAGACTTTAGCGTGCTTATGGAAGTGTGTGCATGGGTGCGAGCAGTGTTCGAAAATGAGTGAAACATTTTAAAGTTGGGAACACCAGCATCGAAGATGAGCCTCATAGCGGTCATCCTCGCACAGCCTCAACTGAACACAACAAGGAAAGAGTGGATGAGATCATTGAAGATGAGAGGCATATGACTGTGGACACAATAGCCCGAAAACTTGGAATAGGGCACAGTGCAGTACAGGAGATGATTGAAAGCTTGGGCTATAGGAAAGTTTGTGCTCGTTGGGTCCCACGGATATTAGCTGAAGATAACAAAGGTCAACGAAAAGCCATCACCTCAGAATTGCTGCAGAGATATCGACAGAAAGGCGATGATTTTTTGCTCTGTATTGTGACAGGTAATGAAAGCTAGTTTCACCATTTCGAGCCTGAAACGAAGTGGAACGGAAGAGTATGGAATGGCACCATTTGCATTCTCCATCAAAAAAGATGGCAAAGACAGTGCCATCAGCTGCGAAGGTGATGGGCACAGTCTTCTGGGATGCAGAAGGGTTTATTCTGGCCGAATTCCTGGAACCTGGGCAAACCATCAATGCTGCTCGTTATGTCCAGATGCTGCACAAGCTCCATCGTGCATTATGCCATAAACGTCCGGGACGAAACATCATCCTGCATGACAACGCTCGCCCCCACACCGCTCGCCTCACATTGGAAGCAATTGCAAAGATGGGGTGGAAGTTCTTCCACACCCCTCCTATAGCCCTGATCTGGCACCCTCCAACTACCATCCTTACGGATTTGTGAAGGATCAGCTGCATGGACAACGTTTCGAGATAAGGGAGGCAATTCAGAAAGCAGTGCGTCAGTGTCTTCGGATGGCTGGAACAGAATTTTACAGAAGGGGAATTTTCGAACTCCCAGAATGCTGGGAGAAATGTGTACAAAGAAGTGGCGATTATGTGGAAAAAATAGAGAAAGGTCTGTAGATTGAGGTGGTGTATTTCGTTTGTCAATAATAAAGCATGTTACTTTACAGAAAATTGTTGCTCATGACTTTCAGTATGACCCTCGTATTTAATGGCCTTCCAATTGAATTAAAAAAATGTAATAAATTTTAATGTTTTTTAGAAGAAAGTTACGAATTATTTTTTGTGTAATGTCTTCTATTCTCTTGAAGAATTTTTTAATAATTGTTGACATGGACTGCTTGTTGATAAATCTGTCTGTCTATTTTATGTCTATTTTGGAGTATTTATTATTCTTAAATTAAATTAAAAAAGTACTTTGAAATGTATTGCTATATTATAGTGCTAAATCACTGTGTGAATGTTATGTTATTTTTGATATGAAGTTATTATTTGACATCTCCAATTGTAATTCTCTACAGCTATGGATGAAATAAATAATTCAATTCAATTCTTTATTATTAATGTGCCGAGTCAACAGCCGCAAGGCCAATTACAGACACAGCACAGTGCAGAAGAATGAATTACATTCTAGACAAACTTATTAAAAGTCACATACAAATTAGAAGAAATAATAATGAATAAAAGTAAAAGTAAACAAACAAATAGCTGATATGGAATGAAACATAAATATTTAATAAAAATAACAGTTACACTATATTTAAAATTTGTTTGGGTAGAACATTCCTGGCTCCGAATACGTCAACATCCCTGCAGACAGCATTAGCAGCTGCTGCGCATCTAGCAGAGGGACAATTNACATCACACCAGATAAAACTCCCCAGGCAAGGGGCCAAAGAACAGTAACTTTAAGTTTTAAAAATTTTGCAGTTGTCTTGTTAATATTTCAAAATTAACACATATTTTTCTTAAAAAGAATATCCTATCAACCTCTGCAAGCTGTGATAGTGAAAGCACATTTAATCTGTAAAAGCTGTTAGGGGTTTAGTCCATCATATCAAGTACTTCCATTTGGAATATATTTGAATTTGGACTGAAAATGAACTATCATGTGATGACATCACAGAAATACACAAAATGAACAGTGCATAACAGCCATCATGACTGACAGAAATCAAGGTGTTCATACCTTTCCTTTCGCATCTTTAGAAGATACCAAATCTTGAAATCGTAACTGAAAATGGGAGCAAAAGACAGTTACTCCCAACACAAAATTATTGTAGAGATTATCATAATAAAATAGCCTACAATGTAGATGAAGTACAGTTAATATAGGTTTATGATATATGTTTAATCAGAGTGGAAGTGTAAATAGGTACTAGAATTTCAAAAAGAAAGAGCAAACTTTATGTGAAATAAATAATAATTAAAGTACAATGTTTGATGCCAACCGTTTGTTTAATGTGACATCAATCAGAACAGTCTGACAGCACATATTCTGCACACCGTTGCTCTCGAGAATCAATTTGGCTGTTACAGTTGTGTTGCTCAAAGATGAGCTTGATCTGTAGTAGAAGAATCTAATTAGCTGAAATACAATATATGTAATGGTATGATATCCCAGTTACACCTCCAGAATTTGAACAAAATACTTGTTCAGGGTCAATATATTCCCATGTCAAGCAATTGGCGCCCTGTCTACACGTACTTTCCAAACCTTTCACTTACATGAAATGTTTCTAGTTGTAACTGAAAGCCCTTTCTTACTATTTGAAATTTCCAAATTTAGACAATTTCAGCATGAAGAATAATAAATTAAAATGTTTTTTTTATTGCTAATGGGGTGTGACCAAGTCCCTTGGACTGTGGCCACTTCTGGCCTATTGTACCAGCCCCAGGTGATAGGTCAGGGTGATTGTGGAGCAATTGGTGGAATGAAGATTGGCAGGGGAAACTGAAGTACTCGGACAAAACCTGCCCCAGCGCCACTTTGTCCACCACAAATCCCACTTGACCAGACCCGGGATTGAACCCTGGCCACCGCGGTGGGAAGCCAGCGACTAACCACTTGAGCTATGGCACGGCCCAAATTAAAGTGTTACTACTACAAATATTGTGTATGTCTCTATAGAGGTCTTTTTGAATAAGACAAGCTGCTCAACAGAGTCTTGTGATGAGTCTGTGCACACAAAAGCATTTCAGTAGTCTGGAAACGGTGCACATGAACCATAATATATCTGAAATATTACATGTGGAGGGGGTAGAAGATTAAACTTATATTAAAAATAATATTGGTTTAAAATATTTTTACATTATGGATTTCTTCAACTTGAAATATTTTCTACGATGTAATAACAGAAACCAAGAGATAGGGTACATACTTCAGTTTTGGCATCTATATAATCTTTTGAACAAATTCTATTCTTGAAAATATTGCCAACATTTTTCAAAGCTGTTTGAGTAAGGCTGCTATCAATAACAAAACATTTATATTTTCATTATATCATACTCTGAAACTATGGACAAAATTATAATCTTTGTGACAGGATGTAGGATGAAGAGTTCTACCTTCTGAGATATAATGCTATTTAAAGACAACTGAAAAAATGAATGAATGAATGAATGAATGAATGAATGAATAAGGTGTATTCCTTAAATTGTCACCTACATGGATGAGTTACATCTCAGAAGACATAACTCTTTGTAACAGTATTTCCTGTGGTAATGTGTGAAATTTTTCTCATAATTTAAAATTGCAATGAATTTCTTGTTGTTCTCTCCATGTGAAAAGCATTCTTAACATTGTACAGTGTTAATCAAAGAACGTTTAAAACGTTTTAAATATTTTATGCAGTTTTTATCGAGAGGTCTGACCAAGGAAGTTCTGAGACTGAATTTCTGAGGGAAAACTAGAAGTCAAAATATTTAACCACATTTGTTCCTATCAAAGTAGTAAGTTCCTCAATACACATAATTCCTGTGATCCTACCATTTGTTGAAGCACTTCTGGCACTGTTCAAGAAGGAGTTTTCCTGTTACACTTTCTATAACCTCTGGAATTCACACCCATCTATTTCCTGCATATGTACATTTTAGTTTGAGGAATAAAAACATGTTCATTAGTAAAACAATATCGTGGATGTAATGGGTGTGGAACCAGTGAAATCATTATTGTGCTTGGCAAAGAATTCTCTCGTGGAGAGGGTTGAGTGAGATGGAAAAATAATGCTGATACTCTCATTACCCAACCTCAGAATCAAAGTACTTAACATGAGGCTTGCAAGATATTTACATCTACACCAACTTCACAAACTATTCTTCTGTCATCAGTAATCAGAACAGCCAATACACAACAAATTAATACTTATAATTATTTTGGATGTAATATATCCTATGAAGGAGAAAAGAATTAAAATATAGAAAATGCAATTTTTTTTTTTTTTTTTTAATGCGGTAAACTCTTCCCTGTCCAGCAGGTATAGGGATTCTTTGGTCCTGCAATTTCAAGATGCAGTGCAACAACCAAACATCCATATATAAAATGGTGTTTCACTCATAAAACAAATGACAGCCTTATGAAAGGGGAGAGAAGTTAATAAGAGTTGTCTATAATGTCATACTGTTTATTTTCTCAATAATAAAATAGGTCCCAAAACTTTTTGATCAGAGAACTTACCCACAGTGTATTTCATATACAAGTATATATACATAATTATCGAGTTAAGGTGTATTCCTTTGCAGCAATTTACAGCTCATCTTTTTAATTTCAGTAATTTCCACTAAATATACAAACTTAAAATATATTTATATATAGTTTTCATGCTATTCCATGTATTAATTACAATAATATAAAACTTGATTGGCAATTCATCACTTGAAGAGATAAACTGTAAATAATCATGCTTAAACTGATATGAAGAGTGACCTCATTTTTAATGATAATATATGTTTACTGTCAATTAACATGGATATGAAAAGTATATGGGAAGAATGATATAACAGAAGAATCAGAACAGGATCAAAAATTGCTGTTGGTGTAGCCAAGTATTCTTTTAAAACTACTTGTAACAACAGAAATATGTGCTTGTTGTGAATCTGCTACCATCCACTCTAGTTTCATGTGGACGTTAATTTAAAACGTGCATTGTTATACAATGTAAATGTTCAATTAAATGCTGATGCTAAACAGTAGCAAGAGTCTCAGTTGTACTGAGATACTAGTCTAGAACCTGTAAGTGCACGTGATCAGAAGACACTAGCAATTGTTTATCTCATGGTTCTGATTCAATCCATGTTTGATTATTCCAGTGATATTACGAGGGTCGTACTGAAAGTCATGAGCAACAATTTTTTGTGAAGTAACATGCTTTATTATTGACAAACAAAATACACCACCTCAATCTACGGACCTTTCTCTATTTTTCCACATAATCGCAACTTCTTTGTAAACATTTCTCCCAGCGTTCTGGGAGTTCGAAAATTCCCCTTCTGTAAAATTCCGTTCCAGCCATCCGAAGACACTGACGCACTGCTTCACGCACTCTAGTTTCATGTGGACGTTAATTTAAAACGTGCATTGTTATACAATGTAAATGTTCAATTAAATGCTGATGCTAAACAGTAGCAAGAGTCTCAGTTGTACTGAGATACTAGTCTAGAACCTGTAAGTGCACGTGATCAGAAGACACTAGCAATTGTTTATCTCATGGTTCTGATTCAATCCATGTTTGATTATTCCAGTGATATTACGAGGGTCGTACTGAAAGTCATGAGCAACAATTTTTTGTGAAGTAACATGCTTTATTATTGACAAACAAAATACACCACCTCAATCTACGGACCTTTCTCTATTTTTCCACATAATCGCAACTTCTTTGTAAACATTTCTCCCAGCGTTCTGGGAGTTCGAAAATTCCCCTTCTGTAAAATTCCGTTCCAGCCATCCGAAGACACTGACGCACTGCTTTCTGAATTGCCTCCCTTGTCTCAAAACGTTGTCCACGCAGCTGATCCTTCACAAATCCGAAAAGATGGTAGTCGGAGGGTGCCAGATCAGGGCTATAGGAGGGGTGTGGAAGAACTTCCCACCCCATCTTTGCAATTGCTTCCAATGTGAGGCGAGCGGCGTGGGGGCGAGCGTTGTCATGCAGGATGATGATGTTTCGTCCCGGACGTTTATCGCGCAATGCACGACGGAGCTTGTGCAGCGTCTGGACATAACGAGCAGCATTGATGGTTTGCCCAGGTTCCAGGAATTCGGCCAGAATAAACCCCTCTGCATCCCAGAAGACTGTGCCCATCACCTTCGCAGCTGATGGCACTGTCTTTGCCTTCTTTTTTGATGGAGAATACAAATGGTGCCATTCCATACTCTGCCATTCCATTTCGTTTCAGGCTCGAAATGGTGAAACTAGCTTTCATCACCTGTCACAATACAGAGCAAAAAATCATCGCCTTTGTGTCGATATCTCTGCAGCAGTTCTGAGGTGATGCCTTTTCGCTGACCTTTGTGGTCTTCGGTTAATAACCGTGGGACCCAACGAGCACAAACTTTCCTATAGCCCAAGCTTTCAATCATCTCCTGTACTGCACTGTGCCCTATTCCAAGTTTTCGGGCTATTGTGTCCACAGTCATATGCCTCTCATCTTCAATGATCTCATCCACTCTTTCCTTGTTGCGTGCAGTTGAGGCTGTGCGAGGATGACCGCTATGAGGCTCATCTTCGATGCTGGTGTTCCCATCTTTAAAATGTTTCACTCATTTTCGAACACTGCTCGCACCCATGCACACACTTCCATAAGCACGCTGAAGTCTTTGGTGAATTTCTGCAGCAGGGATTTCCTGTTTCACAAGAAATTTGATGACAGCACGCTGGCAAAATGACATGTCATCGGTCATTTTGTTAGGAGTGATACTGGTCACGTGATGCAAGGTATTGACGTCACAAGACACTCAAAGTTAACACAAGAGCTGGTTCCACCTACCACCATACTCTCTTTTGCTTGCAGTTCCCAGGTTGCTTGCAAAAAAAAGTTGCTCATGACTTTCGGTACAACCTACGTAATATCTGACAGAACAGAAGAAACTTTCAAAGTGTTATATTTTAATTTTTTTGTAATTTTGTAGAATTATATTATCTTATTGCATCCAGTGAACCATTTTAAATTCAAATACTATATTGTAATGACATAAATATTCATATAGTCACTACAGCTTAAAATTTAGAAGTGTGGGCTTGAAGAGTATCCAGGTACAAGTGCAGAAACTGTAAACAATAGCAGGAGGTACAGTCTGAACATTTGTGGCATTCATTTCTATTACTCATAACTTCAGATATCGGAGTTTAGCAATGCCATACACTGAAGCTGTTCCAAAGTTTCAGCATACATTGCAGTTGCCTTTTTCAGGGTTACGGAGAAAGGGGGAAGTGGGACTATAGTAAGTTTTGCTGTTTTGGCTGCGAGCCAAAAAAGGACACATCACAAGACACAAGACACACAAAATATAGGAAGAACAACTCCCATAGTGGAAGAATAACGTGGTACGCGAATTTGAGTTAAGACGTGTAAGATAATGGATATTAACAAATTTTGATATATATAAATTTTATTATAGTTAACAAAGAGTGTGCATTTTAGATAATTTTATAAACGACATATTATGGTGAGCAATGCAATAGCCTGACGTCAATAACACACCTGAGGATGTCACAGTGATGCCGAAACATGTAGTGAAGTGACATGTGAGACTGAGTGCACTACAAGATGGACAATACATACATATCATGGACGAAAATCAGTGCAACAGGACCCTAAAATATAACATTAATTTCCATTAGTTTACATCTTTCTCTTACCTTCTTGAAACTTTCCACTATTCTAACATCTAATGTGAAAACTGACTGGTAAAATATTGTACTGGGAACAGAACTGTTCTCATTCAACCTAAAGTTAGCTCACCTCCCTAGATCGGTCAAGCAGATTCTCCGCACTATATGTAAACCTGCGTGCTGCCTGAGATTGCAGAATATCACGACTGGTTCGAATCCGCTCATATATGGCACTGGTGGACGGTGTGCGCTGGAGCCAAGCTCGGTACTCATCAGCAGTGAACACACTGGGTGATGATGGGATGCGGCCTATGGAACAATACAAATAAATATCGTATAGCAGTTGACATCTTTACAGAAATTCACATTATAGACTTCCCTAACCCCTTAGATTGGAATATTGAATCAGACTAGTGAGATGAGATGATGACTCTTCTGCTCAATATTAAGGCAGACTTGTAACGATTTTCTAAATAACCTAACTCTTAAATTTTGACTTGTCATTACCACACACAAGAAATTCTATTTTATGTTCTTTCAAGAAACTTTTTTTAAGGACATGCAACTTCCACTTTGACACATCAGTGAAAATATAATACTTGTGTGAACAAACTCCATAGAAACTGTTTTATTGCATATTTTATGTGGCAAACCAACCACTTAATGCTAAAGCCTTAGTAAATAAGAACTAAACATTTGGGCCAATGGTACATTAATAAAAATATTATGTTTCTGGACTGAGTGCCCTTGGATTTTCTGGTGGTTATGTAAACTGGATACGCAGTTACCTAACCAACAGACAATCACGGGCCCGTATTGGTGAAACTATTTCATCGACCTTTGAAGTATTGTCCAGTGTTCCACAAGGATCTGTTCTTGGGCCTCTGCTTTTTAATGTCTACATAAACGACTTGTGTCATTCAATTAAGCACTCCAGGTACCTACTCTTTGCAGATGACGTTAAAATTTAACGTGCTATTAGCTCTCCTGAAGATTGTAATCTTCTGCAATCTGACATTCACTGTATATGTAGCTGGTGTGCAGCGAACTATATGAAACTCAACGTTAACAAAACCAAAGTTATAACGTTCTCCAGGAAAACTAACTATTTGATATACGAGTACAAACTTTTTCACTTCACTATAACTCAAACAAATTCAGTAAAAGACCTGGGCGTATATCTTGATTCTCAACTTCATTTTCATGATCATGTAAATTTTATATTTTCACATTGTACTAAGATGCTAGGTATAATTCGCAGTATCACCTTTAACTATTCAATCCATGGATGCATGTTCATATTATACTTTACTTTGGTTAGATCCAAGGTTGAATACGCTTCAGTAGTTTGGAATTTCATTATGTCAACTGACGCAAAGAAACTAGAATGCATTCAGCAGAACTTTACGGCTCTCTGTTTTAAACGTTTTTTTCATCAATTAGATTACTGTTATGATTTTGCTTTAGAACAATTGAAATTACACACCTTGCAAAAGAGGAGATATAACTTCGATTCATTCTTCCTTTTTCAAGTTTATCGTGGTTCTATACTTTGCCCTTCTGCTTTGGAAATTGTTGGCCTTCGGGTCCCTGTTCGATATATCCAAGACTTTCCTATGTTCAATGTCTGTTCTATTAGTAAAAATTGCCCTTCTGCTAGATGTGCTTCTGCTGCTAATGTTGTTTGTTTGACGTTTTTGGACCAAAAACTTTGTTGATGAAACATATCTTATACTGAATTAATTAAACTATCATTATTATTATTATTATTATTGTATGCTGCTCTGTTTTAAACTCAAATTCTCACATTGTGGCTCTGTCTGTGTATGTTTGCTTCTGTATCTTTATTCATGCTAACTGTGTAATTAATATAGACTATTATTTTTTTATTTTTTTTTTTTTATTATTTTTGTGTATTTCTCTATTCTTGCTTGCTTGTAATTGGCCTTTGTGCTGTTAAGTTTGCACGTAAATAAACACAAATTGAATTGAATTATCCATCATCCTGTTTTTACTTAAAACACAGCATTTAGGAGACTGGATTCTGTCTCCGTCTTCAGGTAAAACCTACTCCAGAGACATAGACCAGCTCTATCGACTGGGCCCTACTCAATAGGTTTTACCTGAAAACGGAGACAAAATCCAGTCTCTGTAACACTGCATTTTAAATATAAAGCAGGAAGATGGATAGTGTCCAGAAACAAAATATTTGTACTAAAGCCTTAGGTTATGGGGATACAGTTGGTAGTAATATTCATAAGAAAAACCTCTGATGATTCAGTCAGTAAATCTGTCAGAGTACATTCATATCCGTCCATCTGTCTGTCAATCTGTCCACATTTCCGCCCACTTATATAGGGCCTCTTTTCAACACTGTGCAGGCTGTGCAGTGTTGAATGATAACATGACTGTTATTGATGAGCTGCAAAGGACACAGAAGAAAGCAGCTGTAGCCTAATTAAAGGCACTGTTCCAAAAGTTACCTGGAGAAATGGAGAAAAATTATGAAGAAGCTCACATTCAGCCTGTAGCCCAGGGTCAGATATCATATTTCCTTCGGAACTGAAATACAGTTGAATCATACTGGGGTATGTAGTCAGTCTTTGGCTAGGTATAGGTGAACCATTAACCTCTTTCTCTTCTGGTCACGGGAAGTTCAGGAGCAGAGACTGCACCGTCGCTATCCTCTTGGTCCAACAATCCAGGTGCACCACTTCCTCTGCTTTCCCGTTCAAACCTGACCATGTGGTGTCTTGGTGTCTGCCCTGGCTGTGCATGATGACTTCGGCCTCGATGATCTCTCGGCAAAGAGTTGGAACGAAGACCAGCTGTCATGGCAGCTGATGTGCCTGCACCTGCCACCCCTATATGTGGCCGTGACAGTGTGGATGTCCGTGGGGGTTGCATTGTGAGACCTTGCCTGTAATATCAGAAAAGTGGAAATAAAATTCTAACACTGAGCACTTGCTGGTAGTAGGGGATGTGTATATCACACTGCTATGAGTAGAGATTCCTTTCACCTTGTATATGCTGGTGTGTAAACAAGCAAACAACTTGATGAGCGCCGGCAAACATGTCAAAGGCCACACATTTGCAATGCATTGTATGCTATGAGTTCTATGCTAAGCCAAACATGACAACACCAGCAAACATGTTTTTAGAAAATATGAGCTGAATCTGAGCATTCTGTAGGTGTAGAAGCTTTAAGGAGATAACATAAAGAAATTCAAACAGTTGCAGTTACAGCACACAACTTTCAGTTTCTGCTCTCAGAGTTAAATTGATTAAATTCCAACATGGTAATGAGTCATAAATGAAACAGCAACTGGCATTTGAAGTTTAGAAATATTCTGATTAGTCAGGTCTATAGAACATCTTGAAACTTGTGACAGATGAATATGGAACAAAAGTGAAATTATGACTGGCTGAGAAATACCTACATCACAGCAGAAGTGATGTAAGAGATTCTGAAACAACAGAGCGTACTTGTAAATTGCGTAACTGTTTGTAAATATGACAAGCCAGTGTTTACTAAATCATATTGTCACGCATTTGACTGTGACTGTAGGTGGAGTCTTTATTTGAGATTGGATATATTGACCACTTTAACATATGACTCATGACTAAATTTAATTACAGTGCCATTGCTATTCTCCACATTTTACAAATCACTACAGCACATGCTAAACCTTTTCATTCTGCCTGTCTTCACCAATCGTTTTCTGGTAACGGCTTCTAACAATGGAACTTCTTTAGCTTCCATGTTCAATTTGCTGCCCACTGGCTCTCAACTGCACCAGGTAAGTCTTCTCTTCACCATCTCACTTAGAAGTGACTAATTTCTAAACTTGTCTAGGTTATTGCATCTTGGCACAGACCACATGGAAAACACGGTTTCCAAAAGTTCCTCTTGGTTGCACATGTACTCACTGCAGTGGGAACCTGTTTGTTTTGTGGTCACTACCTGGTAACAGGTCTACAAATTACCCAACTATTAATTCAAACCCCATGTATATTCAGTATAATACTCATATGACAACATTATTACTGCAGTCTTCTTATCATTCCACTTGATAACAGACACAGGTACAGTGTGTTCAGCAATAACTTCACCTATATTTACTTCTTTCACGTTTTTTTCTTTGGTAGAAACATTCCTCTTGTTTTGTTTCAGAGTCCCTGCATAATCAGTCTTTAGTGACTTAGAAATATGCCTAGATCTTAGAAATTGCAGAAGTTCTATAGCCAAAGTGTGATCCCTCATGAAGTAAGGGTTCTGCCAATTTCACCACTAAGGTAGTTGGGTAGAATCTAAAGGGTTTTGACGATAGTGTATAACATTCATGATTTCTGGGTTTCTTATTTCTTTCCAAAATCCAGTATTCTAAAAAGTGTGACCTTTCGGAATTTGGATCTGTTTCCATCCACAGGTGAGGGGGTGGGAGACATCTAATCTATGGCGTCTTCTAGAAAGTGCTAACCTCAACCACTGACAGATAGCAGTACTCAGCCAAGGAACTCCTGACCCTTTACTGTAGGTTCATTATCACATTCTCAAGAGCTTGCCGCTGGCCCCTTTCCCAAGCTGAACGAGCCCTGTCCATACCCAGCAATCTATTTCCTTTAGATCCATTTCTATATCGTTTCAGCATTTACACTTAAGTCAATAAGAAATTTTTTGACCAACATTTTTTACGGATTTCTGAATTCTCATGTGTGTTACATGATCAGTCTCTCTTATTACTTTTTATTTGATCATCCTAATAATGTTTGGTAAACAATATGAATTATGAAACTCCCTTCATAAAATTTTCTCCATCCCCTTGTCACTTCCTCTCCCTTAAGGAAACAGACACTATTGCAGAAAGAAAGAATCAATTGCCTGGAGAAGAAATTGGGATTATTTAATTTCACTTTATATTGTAACACTATAAATTACATAACAATGAAATTTCACTTCAGTAAAGTTTCCACACCTGTAGTAGTAATACGAGGAACGTGGCGAGGACGTGCAGGTTGCTTCTGTATCAGATGCGTAGTCAAGTGAGGGGCGGTGCCTTCTTGTAAGTGTTCCAGTGGAAAATGGCTGCTGCCTCTGTTGGGATGTGATATCTGATGTTCTATACCTCGATGCATATGAGGAACCACCAGCAGATTTGAGACTGGATCTCAGCATAGTGTGTGACGTTTGCCGAGTGCCAAGACTGTTATCAAAGAAACTGTATTTCTTAGACAGTAGGCTTATATGAAATTAGGAGAAATATAAATTCATTAAATGCTTTCTGTTAGTCTATTTAATTGCAGTCACCTTATCTACTTTCAAAACACAAAAATCAAGATATTTAAAAAGAAAAAAATTTTCATTTGTTCCCCTTGACTGTGAAACACTGCGATTTGTTGCTTTGAAGGAAGATTACAAAATATATGTGATTGAAGTGCCCGGCAAAATATCTGCATCTAAAATGAATGAAGATGATGGGAAATTTAGGATATTAGATAACGAAGAATTTTGCAATTTATGCAGGATAATTGGACAGGGCATTGAATTCCAGGAGGCTTCACTGGGCTGGTCATGTTGTAAGGATGGCGACAAAATGAAAACATATACTGCATTCTGTTGGGAAATCCCTTGGAAGATGACCATAAGTACAGCAAAAGGAAGGAAGAATAATCTTAAGACATATTTTAGGACTGTATATTGAGGGTTCATGTCCCACTTCATTCTTTTTTCTTTATCCAAGGTGTATAGAGTCTTAAGTAAGTTTAACTAAATATGCATAGCAGTGTATGATGAATATTTGAAAACCAAGGAAATGTACATGCGGGATACCTAACCAAAGCACAGTCAATGCAGGAGGAGTAGTAGTAGTAGTGGTGGTGGTGGTGGTGGTGGTGCAGCCAGATTTCAGTGGCTTCCTTCATAAAGCAGTCCATGCAGCCTGCCATTCTTGCCACAACCATTTTGTCCATGATATGTCAATTTAAATTTAGGCTACATGGGTCACTTAACGAAGATCAATCAGATACAGCTGCAACCTGATAACTTAAACAGAGATATGGGATTCTCTCTAAGCCTTTCATGTGACTGACTACAAACATAATAAAAAAAACAGTTGAGAAGTTCATAGAAGAACACTATACAGAAGGAACAGTGAGTAGCAGCAGAATTCCAACAAGTACAGGACATCATTGAATATCCGACTCTCTCCACCATTGTGTAAGATTTGAGGCTTTCACGGCGGTGACTATGAAGAAAGCAGTCTTCTGGGATTTGGCACCGTGTATATGTGGTGTTAACCGACGTTTCAGAGGTGTTGTCGCTTGCAGAATTCTTATACTTTTTCTTCTACCCTGAAGATGGGGGCGATACGTTCCTCCGAAACGTCGGTTAACACCACATATACACGGTGCCAAATCCCAGAAGACTGCTTTCTTCTCTCCACCATTGTCCATGTGGCCCAGGCTGAGATAGATGACAGATTTCTGCACAGATGTAGTGATCCAGTACAACACTCATCATATCAACCTCCAAAGATGGAGCTAGATATAGTGTCTGAAATGTCAGATACCGACTACAAATTGACATGGTTGATTACCTGAGAAGATTGTATCACAGTTTAAATTAAAATTTTAGGAGTTCATCCTGCAATGCATCTAATACTGTTTAAAAGGATAGTATCTTGTGAAACCTACTTCTTTGTGTATGGAAACAGGCCGCACTATAGCTCAAGCGGTTAGTCACTGGCTTCCCACCGTGGCAGCTCAGGTTCCATCCCAGTTCTAGTCAAGTGGGATATGTGGTGGACAAAGTGGCACTGGGGCAGGTTTTCTCCGAGTACTTTGGTTCCCCCTGCCAATCTTCATTCCACCAGATCCTTCATCATCATAATCACCCAGGCAGGCTATAATAAGCCAATCAGTGGCCGCTGTGCCAAGGGGACCCAGTTGGACTTCACTCCCCACTAAGCGAATTATTATTTTTTTTTGTATGGAAACCTGCACTCCTACCTGTCACAGTGCTCAGTTGGGAGAAGTAAATTTTTTGTATGATATATTCCCTTCAGTTACTTTTTACCTCATCAAGATCAACTTCTTCCCAGGATGATTAAAACATCAATTTTTATAGCAACTGATGTTTGTCAGGAAATAGTTTAACTATATATAAGCTTTCAGATATAAAACTAGTTTCCTAAACTCCTGTTAATTAGTTAAAGACGCATAAAAACAAGGAATTGCTTTCTCACCACTGAGGTGCTAATTTTTTTTTAAATTATAAAACATACTTACCCAGTTCCTGTGGCATAATCATATTCTACCCGAGGCAGGTGTTGATCACTACCAGAACGAGGCATAACTCGTCCAGAAACTCTCCTTGTGCCTGTATGAACATAATAGTGTGACTGTGGATGCTGCTGAAGCCGCAGAGAGCTTGGGCTAGGCTGTGGACCAGCTGACATACGTCTTGTTGATGTGATGGAAGTTGTTCCGGGTGGAGGGGGAGGACCTGAATAGAATGCATGCACCTGCAACAGTTGCAAACACAAATATACACATGAATATACCATCTTCCCATGAACGCAAAGTAGCTTCAGAGCTCTGAAGGCCTATAAAAATCTGACCATTTCTTTTTTTTCATGGATATATAATTAAGTGTCTGTAACAGTCTCAAAATCCTCTATCATCTTCTAAGTTTTTCCTTATATTTTTAAATATAGTTTTATAAATGTTATATTTTAGCGTCCTGTTGCACTGATTTAAGTCCATGATTTATTTAAACCGTCTTGCAGTGCATACACTCATCTATCTCCTTCTCTCACTCGCACTACATGTTTCGGCATAAAGATGCCATCTTCAGGTGCTTACTCAATCCACGCCAAACTAGTTCATTGCATGCCTTGTCCTCACATTAAAATGACTAAAATATATATCTATCATATACATTGACAAATGTCAAACGTTAAAAATATTAAAATTGTTCCGGATTCCTCGCCTCTACGTCGCGTCTCACTACGCCAGTCATGCCCATTCTCCTCTGTTGGAGCACTCCTTCACTATCGTGTGTGTGTTGTGCTTTTGTTGTGTCTTGCTCCTGTGACTGTGTGTGTTATACTGCGTTGTGTTATGACAGTATAACACACGCAGTCACAGGAGCAAGACATAACAAAAGCACAACACACACACGATAGTGAAGGAGTGCTCCAACAGAGGAGGATGGGCGTGACTGGCGTAGTGAGATGCGACGTAGAGATGAGGGATCCGGAACAATTTTAATATTTTTAACGTTTGACATTTGTCAATGTATATGATAGATATATATTTTAGTCATTTTAATGTGAGGACAAGGCATGCAATGACCTAGTTTGGCGTGGATTGAGTAAGCACCTGAAGATGGTATCTTTATGCCGAAACATGTAGTGCAAGTGAGAGAAGGAGATAGATGAGTGTATGCACTGCAAGACGGTTTAAATAAATCATAGTTTTATAATTTCATGCTATGTTCAGCCACCCATATTGTTCTCAAGTATCTTTTGTATTTCAATGTTTTCATCTAATTTAATGTTATTATCTATACTCGATTACATATTCCTATAATAAAAAAAATTAAATTAATCTTCAAATGTTACATAAACATTTCAAGCTTTCCAGGTGTGATGTGGCAGATGTAACACTGATACTTAGTTTCTTCTTTCACATTCAGGTGAGATGTGTCATCCATGATACTTTCATTAATCTTATTTTTTTGGTTTGTTCAAAATGCACAATAAATCTTTGAAGGGTGTGGTGCAAGGGCCAGCAGTTAGGCCCATCCCTTATGCACTGTAGTTTGTTCAAATCTATCGAGAAGAGTAATTAGAACACATTTTCTTTGAAAAAGTCGCCATTAAAATGTTGCTAAGTGTGGCAAGAGTAATGACAGGGAATTGATGCAATACATTGGTCCAAGAACTGACTGCAGTTGTTTTCAGTTTAAAGATTTATCACTGGAATTATGAACACTGCTAAACTCAGAATTTTTCTGATTTTGCAAGTCTGTGAGTATGATCCACAGTTAAATATTTCAGAAAGATATAGTGCCTCTGGAGCATCATATGGAATTAACAAGAATTTTTGCCACATCCCAGTGGATAGCCACGATGAAATATTATTCTGGTGATTAAAACTTAGTGTAGTATATTACAGTGATATGTAACTGATCGCATGGTGTTACAGTCTTAAATTTATGAAGCTAATTGTGCTTATCCTGTATTATGTAAGTCTTTCAAAAGTGCTGATACTTTTCACAGTTCAGTAATGATTAGAACTCTGCTTTTGCCAGCCATATCAAAAGAGAGATTCAGAGATAAATGACAACATCATATTACTAGTTTCAGTTATGTATGTTCATTGCTGAGTGTTAATCAATGTCACAAAAAGCACATCGCTACCAATTTTATCATCTGCAAAATATGATGTGAAATTTAATAAAGGAAATTAGAAGACAGACTAACAAACCAAGTTATGGAGAACTGTTTTTTAGCTTACTCAAGAGAATACATAATTGAAAATAGAGTTAGACTTGAAAGGATTCTGACAATGGTGTATACTGTACTTCTTTTGGCTTGTTTTGGACTTCATCCATCATCTGGTATGTAAAAGACAAAAGACCACGATGTTTCGGAGACTGGATCTGTCTCCGTCTTCAGGTTGGTAGGGAAGGATAAACCTACTCAGTTGGGCTTGTTAGACGGAGCCAGTCTCAATCACTGGAGGTCTTTTGTCTTTTACATACCAGACAATGGATGAAGTCCAAAACAAGCCAAAAGAAGTACTGAAAATACAGTGTTTCATTGTGAGCCATGTGTTTCTTTGGTAAATAAATTTATTTATAATGAGATTCTCTTCCCCTAAAATGTTTTTACAGTTCTTTACTCCAGCAAAAATATATTCATGTTACATTTACTTTACACTACACAGTTCAGTAGGATCAATATGTACAAGAATATCTAAGAAACACAATAAGCCCTGACGATCAGTTATACATGGAAAATAAAAGGCAAATATTTAGATGTATATGTGGAATAGTATGGTCACATGTATCAGTGACTAAAAATGGAGTTTGGATTGGTTAATTGATTTATTTGATATTACCAAGTTGTAAGTACAAGTAATTATAACACTGTTACTGATTTTCACACTAAAAATCACTCCACACTAACATAACAACAATTAGTTCTTACTCTCTCAAGATCACCGAACTATTACATATGAAATCATGTCTTCAATATCTGTTAACGTTTCAACTATTCAGCTGCCTTCTGAATTTTCTTCAACCGAATTCTCCTCGTCCGAACTTTCAACTGAATTTTCCTGGACTCACTTCAGTTCTGTTGTTTAATTCTCTCAACTGCCAATCCTCTCTTCATTCTGTGTAACATTTGAGGTTTTCATGGCATTCTTCTCTCTTCCTATGCTATGACTCACGGCTTCTCAGCTACAAATCCCTGCAAACGACCTTTGTTGTCCCCTACAAACCCTTGGCATGATCTATAGAAAACATGTCATGTGCTCGCTAAGCACTGGTGTGGTGATGGTATTATGCCTGCGCAAGCTGTATGGACACAAAGAAAACACTGCTGCTGTATTGTTGGCCACGTGTGTGTGTGTTGCAAGCATTCCCTAGCAATGGACGTACATGTCACAGTATAAATATTTTGGTAAAATTCAAGAGAATATATGTATTTTAAGTTACACAGAATATTTTTAAACCAGTTATGAAAAACAGCAATCAGACATGGACATGTAATACACAAAAAATAGAACTGGGAAGAATAGAATTTTTTAAGCTCCTTAGCTAGATTTATGTAGGAGACCTACCACACCCAAAATGGAACCAAGATATCTGAAAAATGTAAGACTGGAAACACAGCTGAAGAGGTTATTACATACAGAAAGAGGTGAAAAGATAATGTATATAGAACAGGTGAAAGAAAAAGGATTTAATCTGGTACAACTAAAAAGATGCCTGCTCTGTAAGAATAAGGAGAAAAAGCGGCGGTGGTGGTGGTGGTGGTGGTGGTGGTGGTGTTGGCGGCAGCGGCGGCGGTGGTCGTGGTGGTGGCGGTAGTGGGGGTGGTCGTAGCTGTGGTGGGGGTGGCGATGGCAGGGGTGGCGGATGTGTTGGTGGTGGTAAGAATTTATGTAGGTTTCTGAAAGGAAAGATTTGTTAGCAGACATAACAACAATCTCACCTTTTCTGCTAATGACTCTAGTGTTTTTGGATAACCTCTTTCATATGGCTGGAAGTGCTGAGGTGTAGATGAGGGTTTTGGCTGCTCTGTAATGACTGGGGGAGGTGGTGGCTGATATGACCATGTTGCTGCAGCACTTCTATCACTAGCATGTTCTGGTCTGGAGTTATAGTACAAGTCAGCCAAGCCTAGCCCATTAGCTGTTGTCTCTCCATTGCTGTCAAGGCCCAAGTCCTGATCTGAGCCCAGACCAGTTAAGCCTAATCCTAGACGTGACCTGAAAGAAATATTATAAGTAACTTTTCAAATTAGACAGGAAAGCCAGTAGTCTTGACCTGCATTAATCTAAGTCAGAAGACAAAGGATAACTGCTAACAGCTGCTAATCTCACTTCCTACTCTATTTTTCTATCAGATCAAGGAGTAGGCAGCAGTTCTATATGGAAGTCATGGAAGAAGTTGTATTTTTGACACAAAAAATAAACAGAATTTTGTGATGATTATGCTCTATAGAAAACATAGGATATAGTCATATTCAATGTAACCTTTAAAAATGTTATGAAGTCATGACAGGTATTTTTTGAAGCCAGTTATTTAGAAATTCTGTCGGTAACAAGACTATATAGCAACAGTGATGGGATGACTAATGAATACAGAGCAGATGGTGGGAAGAGAATTGACTGGGGAAACCAAAGTACTTAGAGAAAACCAGCTATAGTACCGCTTCATACATCATAAATCTCAAATGACCTGACCTGGGATTGTGAATTACCATGGTGAGAAGACAACAAAAATATTTGCTGTGACAAGTAAAAATCCGAGATTTTATGTAAATTTGCCATTACATAGTCAGAATTGAGTGTATATTCCTCACAAAGATCTTGCATGTATCCTGCTAATCATTATTGTAAATTACATCACTGATCAAATCATCACTTCTTCCACCAGTTCTTTAGAGTATCTCAGAAAAGTAAAATTCTGATATACTGAACAGGCTGTTGTAAAGGTGATGATCTAAACTTATGTCCAGGAGGCACTGGTTTGAATCTCTGTTAGATTAGTGGGTATCCTGATATACAGGTCAGAATTACTAGGTTTTTGGATTTTGTCCATTATCTTGCATACTAAAAACTAGAGAACACAAAGTTTCCGAAACTGAAAACGTTTCTGCCTCAGATGATGAGGTGGCACCTACTCTGTTGGGTATCTTAGAAAGAACTAACCTCAATCATTGGACAACCCACGTCAGTATAACTACTGCTATACAAACGCATGTGGGAGGCATGCAGTAGCATAGTTAGTTGAGGCACTATGCTACAAGCTGGAAGGTCATGGGATCAAATCCCAAAGAGGTCACTGGATTTTTCAATTGACCTAATCCTTCAAGCTGAACTATGGCCATGGGGTCGACTCAGCCTCTAACAGAAATAAGTATTAGGAATTTTCCTGGGGGGTAAAAGGGCAGCCGTCACCTAAGGCTGACAACCTTACCGCCATCTGTGAGCCAACTGTCTGGAAAATGTGAGAGGCTCAACCTCTCACACCAACAATTTGGGCCTTCACGGCCTGTAACAGGGACAGGTTCACTTTTTATGTTTACACAAATACCTGAAACTGTGCTTTGTCAAAGGTAGACAAAAGGAAAATACGAAGTTGTATTGAAAAGTTCCCGGACTGTTATTGTTGTAACTGCCTCAGTGAAAGAAAATTGGAAGTGAGGCCAAGGTCATACTTCCACAAACCTGTTGCATCAGTCTGCCATGTGATACCATGCTGTGAACACTCATTGTTTTTACACGAGTGCTTCTTCCACTTCCTGCTTCATTTGTCTGCAATGGATGGCAAAATCGAGCAACGTGTCTGCATCACATTATGTGTGAATCTCGGTAAATCTGTTACTGAAACCCTTGAAAAGCTTCGGAAGGCTTTTGGAGAAAATTCTTTAAGCCAGACAGTGGTTTTTGAATGGTATTCATATTTCAGAGTCAGTCAAGTGTCAGTTGAAAATGACAAACTTTCAGGGTGCCCAAGCACCAGCAAAACGACAGAAAATGCTGAAAAAGTTTGAGAACTCATTACTGAAAACCATCACCAAACAATCTGAGAGCTCACAGACACCATTGGGATCACTTATGGGGTCTACCAGATCTTAACATAAAATTTGAACATGCGCCACACTGCTCCTTCATCATGACAATGAGCCGCCCCACACATCCCAGAAAACTGAAAACCACAGAGTTTGTGACTAGTAACAACATGGTTATCATTCTCCATCCTCCCTACTCACCAGACTTAGCCCCCTATGATTTTGCTGTGTTTTCAAATTGAAAATGAAACTGAAGTGACAATGTTTCAAAACTGTACCTGACATCCAAAGGGAATCGCAAGCGGTACTCAACAGCATTAAGGAAAATGACTTCCATGGTGCTTTTGAAACGTGGAGAAAAACGATGGGATAGCTGTATACGTTTGCAAGAAGACTATTTTGAAGGAGAGTGCAGCCAAAACCGAGTAAGCTAAGCCAGAATTTCTTTTTTGACCTAGTCTGGGAACTTTCCAATAGAAGATTGTATGCTATAAAATTGTGACAAAGCATTCACAAACCTGAAACTAAGACAGAAACAGAGGTGAAACTGTTCTTCAACAAACCTATCCAACATATTAAGCCCATGAAAACCAATGCATAGAATTAAATGGAAAATTTATGAAATCATTTTTATCCTGTTGCTATCACTGCCTGTGAAGTAAAAACTGAACATTCATGACTAAAATCTTATAGAAACCTGTCACATCATACTGACCTTCTCTGTGAGCTGGTAACCTCATTGCTGGTAAGTGGGATCCAGATGGAAGAAATATCCAAACTGGTTTGGCTGATTGGATTGATTAAGCAGGCCATATGGGCTGATTCTATGTATTTTCTATACCTGCTGTTAACTTCAATTTCCACAATCCTAGTTTGAACCCAGCCTACCTGATGACTGTCTCTTTCTGAATCCTCACATACTTCCTATTCATCATCACCTTTTCATTTGACTCTGTGCTGTACATCTGCAGTTGAAACAACCCTGTTAAATAACCTAAGAATTGAGCAATTATATTCCTGCAAAATAAATTTCTCCCTAGGATTACCTTCTTCTTTCTTGGATTTACTTTCATCTACTTCAAACATTATACAATTTTCTGTTGTCCGCAAATAACAAAGAATGAAATACAGGATGTACTGATTCAGTTATAGTCAAATTTGACTCTCTTGGATTTGAGGTTCTCATAGCAGTGGTTATGAAGTGTTATTTATTCTGGGATATAAAGCCACATAGTTCAAAGAAAGTGAATCAATATGTCCGAGGTATGTGTCCCCTCCATCTTCTGTGTTAAAGAATAATCCAAGCATGAAACTAGCATGAAGCATGTAGCAAGAAGCGCTCTTGCAATGCATATGTTGTAGCCTGATGACAACCTTTAAGTTCAAAATATGTAGCTATAAATATTCAGGTGCTGCATGAAATTATTAATGATTATATACAATGATGTGTGTGTATGTGTGTAACTGGTGCAAAGTCATTGCACATACTTTCTCATATATGGTTGGTCATAACTTGAATTACCTTGAAGTAGATACCATCTCTCTGCCATCTCCCCCTCGCCTCCGAGACCCTGTTTCTTCCATATCATCCAACTCATCCTCTTCTCTCAGTTCCTTTTTGATGACCACAACTGGAGGAGGTTTATGTTCTGAACGAGGCTGCAGATGAGGTGACATTATTCCGCCCTTTCCTGTAGTCACAAAAAGCAAAATTGTTTTAAAAACTGCCAACCTCAGATTGCATGAATAATGTCACATTTTTTGTCCACTAATTCAGAGATATTAATATTTGGAAAACTGTACCCATATTCCCTCTACGTCTGTAAAGACTGCACAGTCTGAATGCATGAATTTGCCAGTCAGAACTTTAACTGTTTTCATCATAAAACATTTTCTGAACTTTTTATAAATGTTCAACACTTGCTTCTTGTAAGCTATGCGTTTGTAGTTTATTGCACAATTTGTTGTGATTTAGTACACAATACAGTCAACTCTCAATTATGCGGGGGCGGATTAACTGGTTTGCGGCTACTGAGGCTTTTTTGAGGCTTATATGTTGTTTAATATTCATTCACTTTTGTTTCACATGGTGAGTTGTAACACGATTTTTGCACTAGTGTGAACTGAGCTCTGCATTCTTTGGTCCCGTTATGCTAACACAATGTTCTAGGGTAGGGGTGAAAGAATGCAAGGATTTGTGGAAAGTTTCAAGGACAGATACATTGCCCCAGTTAGTTTCTTTGTATCTTCAAGTGTGTTAGCAAAATGTCAGGGTGTAAAAGGAAGCATGTTGTGTTAAGTATTCAACAGAAAAAGGAAAATGCCGCAAAAAAGTAAACAACAATATTAAATTTTTTTAAGTATTAAGTGTGAATATTCGTAAAAAGTGATGGATTTTGTTGAAGACTGTGATTGAAATAAGTAATTCATAATTCAGTGTAATGTAAAAAAAGTATTAAATAGGCCATGAGATGACATAAAATGAGGTTGAATAAATTTAAATACAGGTAGGCCTATAGTATTATGAAGGTACAGTATTACAGTACTACTTTTAATAAAATTTGTCTTAACCAGGTTTTCAATTAATCGTGATTTCCATCCTCACCATTATCCCAGATAATCGAGAGTTGACTGTACTTGTTTCTCAGTTTACTTTCATATGTTGTGAACTGGCATATTTTGATTTTTGTAATGTTCAATAAGGATGCTGCTGGTGAAGATGTATGTGTGTAGCTAATGCTGCTAACATTTTTCCAATCCACAAAAGATTAAAGGAACCCACATGCAAGTTCCTGTCTCTCTGTACAAGACATTAGTAATAAACCCAAAATGGAGAGAGAAACTACTTAGTGTACATATGTATTACATGTGTAAGCCCCAGAAACGTTCCTTTGTCAAGTATTAAATAACTAAAATGTATCGCCTCCATCTTCAGGGTAGATCAACCCATGTAAAATTTAACAAACCTGTATTTAGTGAATAAATTATTTTATAAAGAACTCTTATTTTACTTAAAATGCATTTTACACCATACCAGCTTTCCTCTGCCTGGTGACGAGCACCAATCGCCTTGGTATAGACATGATGATAACCACGTCATCTAGGCTCATTCTTGTCACATCAACCATGTTGACAGCCAGGATCTCATCCCCCACCTTCAGACAGCCACTGTTGTAGACAGCTGACTCAAGAGCAATGCGCGAGATGAACACGCCATCTGACCGGTCAAGTCCATTCCCTTCTCTGATGTATAGACCAAGAGTCTGACCTGGTCTCTTCACTATCTCCACCAGATGCACAAAGTGCTTTGCATCCTATTGTCAAATTAAGTGACTTAATCCTCAGCATTCTGACATACAACCTCGAGTCATCTGAATCAGTGGTTCTGCACTAAGTTTGGTGAAGGTATTCACATGAATTAGTTTATATTCAAATTAAATTTACTTTTTATAAAAATGCTGTAACACTAACATTATAAGTCAGCTATCATTCTACTTTAAGTGATATATACATTTCATTCAAACAAGTAGAACTCACATTATTAATACACACATTTACCAATAAGTAGACCACTTGATACCAGATACTTTTTAGCTTTTCTGAAACTGACATCATCATTTGTATGTTTACCAAAAATTACACAGCATACTCTTAAAATAAAATGACAATTTTTTTTAAATATTTATAACAAATATATTTGTAACAGTTCTTAAAATATTTAAAGACATGAGTAATCAGAGTCAAGTAAAATCTTACATCTTAATAAACAGAAAATTATGGCATATTTGTTGGATACATTATTGACACCAGATCTACTCAGTTTATTAAGAAAGGCAGACCATTGGTGTGAAGTATACCACAAGTCAATTGACTCTGAGAGAAAGTGCTTCTGATGAAACACTCTGGATATAAAAAATACAAATATATTTCCCAATTATAGAATAGAATGGCAAAAATGCATTATATTCTTCATAATAACACTCTGAATGTCAGACACAAAATACAGCATTTGTATGCCTGTCATATTGTGTTCATTCCATAAACTTAACAAAAGATGCATATTTTTAAAGATGTCTTACAACATTTCACTGAACAATTCTATATTAAGTGGAGCACCATGTGGAGGCAGGTTGGTATACTTTCCTTTGTAGTCCTGCAAGTTGTAGAAAGTAATAAAAATGGGACCCTGGGCCTGTTAGTAATGACTGGGCCATCCTGTTACTGGGGAACATAAATACAGGGACATGGTCCTCCAGGTTTGGGGCTGGACGCAAGGCTGATAACCTTGCTTTGTAAAAAAAATATCGTTGCAAAGTCCTAAGAAGTGAAAACCAGATGAAATCTGGTAGGACATTCTAAGGACACTTATGGTTCAAAAAGGGCTGCTTTGCAATGGTGGTGGTGGCAGTGGTGGTGGCNTATCCTTTTGGTATTACTGATGGTGGGAAATTGAATGTACAGAAATGCAGTGGCCTCCAGTGGTATGAGGTCTGCATCAGTTTCACAAAAGTATGTGAAGTGAAGGAGAGGTTCGGTCATATAGACATGATGATATCTTAAGTGGTCTCTCCTTGTAAATAAGGATAGTAGATTAAAAATATATCCTATATGTTTCCACATAGCTACATACACTTTGTCCTTTCGGGAAATGACACATAACAAGGGATGAAGCTGTACCTGCATTGCAAGGAAGCGCTTGGCAGCTTCAGATGCAGCACGTCCCATGTGCCTGGGATCCAGCAGACGCACCACCATTTCTCCACGCCTCTCCACTGCTTCCAGTGCTGCTGCTGTGGTTGCATCATGGTCATTCTCAACTGTCTCAATCTGTCGGAAGATCTCTGTTGAGATCCCACTCACCTATATAAACAAGATGAAATTGTTAAAAACCTCTGCAACATTGTCATAGCTTCTATGTGGTGGACAAGAGATTTACCAGGTGTACAGTGAAAGAATGCCATTGCTAGAATTTAAGTGAGCAATTACATAGTTACATGCTGCTGTTGACAGAAAATATTTTCATTGAAGATTTTTCTATTCAGAGCTTCTATTTTATCCATTACATTGTCTAAAATAGCTTAATTGCATATCTTGTTAATGCATGGTAACATTCCATTGATTTTGCTCATTCAAATTTTATTTGGAAGGTAATTTTAAAATGTACAACAACAACCTGTCAGGAAGTAGAATCTGAGTCTCAATTCTAACACTGAACACAAATGTGATACAGTTTTCCATCTCTCAACCTCACAAGTCAAAAATGTTATTGCTACACCTTCAATCACCAGTATGTCTTCTTGGGGTAGAACTTAATTAATCGAACACAAGGACAACTTGACCTTTACCTTAACATCCTCACAATCCATTTCCCGAAAATCTACCTTAATGTTATTGTACCATTTCCTTCCTGGCCTTCCAAGTGGTTATTTATGAAGAGGTTTCCCACCAAAATTTGTATATATGTTTGTCTTTCTACTCCACCTACACAATCATCCCTCTTTTGTGCTAAATATACAAAATCTTCCTGGCTGCTTATTGAACTCTCAAGTTTACTGAAACTGTATAATTCATAAGCATGCAGTTCCGCAATGCCATTTCTCAAAATGAAATATGAAGAGTAAATTTTAGCAGAGGTTTTCATTTGAATAAGATTTGCACTGAGCAGCCTTTATTACCATCTGACCTATCATGTGCCTAATGATGTTTCCACATTTTTACAAAAAAAAAGGTCTATATACTAATGCTTGGGAATTTTGTTACCGTTATATGGTTAATGAAACATTGATATCTCTTTAAGTCGATTCATAATGAGGGGATAATTTATTATTCCTCCCCTGTAACACAGAAGAAGATGTGACAGTGTAATTTAGGAATGGAGAGAGTAGCCAAGTAAATGAAGTAATCCATGTGATACATATCATACAATATCAGGCAACGAGACTCTAGAATTCGAATAAGAGAAAATGTCTGGAAACATATCATCAATATATTATCACTCTCTTAATAACTGAAAGATCTGACTCAGTATCTCCTATATTAATGACAACTGTGAATTTCTGCTCTTCTCAGCTCAACAGCAACTAAAATCAATTAAAGGAAAGGGGATAACCACATTTTTGAAACCATGTCCATTATTATAATTTTCTTTGTATTATTACTGATATTTCTTTCAACTGAAAATATGACATAGAAATATATTATGTAAAGTAATAAATGTTGTTTGTTGTAAAAATAACTTCATGCAAAGATTGTTGCTCAGTAACATCTCATATTGTTTGAGAACAATGCTTCAATTACAGCAAATATGTAATCTGACACCAGAGATATTAAGATGTATGATTGGATTGATAAAATTTAACAGTTATATTCAGCTCAATTACAATGATAATTGGTAATTGATAGTTTATTTAACATCCATAACTGTTACACAGGCAAAATTGGACAAGTCAGTCGAAAACAGCCAAACACTACATGCCAAGAACTCTTAAAAATTGTATAAAAAATATACAATTCAGTCATTTTTTTATCAATATCCCCTTGCTATAACTTACCAACCACTTGATAGTTTGTAACTATGAATGCATTAAAAGAATCAAACCACAATTTCAAAATTGACCTTAAACTAACTTACCCTAGATTTTGGTATTGGTATTTTGTTTCATATCAGATATAATGGTTATAATGTAAAGATTCAGCTTTTGAAATTCAGCAGTGAAATTTTTACCTCCTTAAAAAGCCCTTGATCACATTTCCTCCCACATCCCATCCAGATCTCTTGTTTCTGTATTATCTTATAAATTCTCATAAAGCGCAACATATTCACTTCTATTAAAGGTACTCTTAGGAGGTGTCAACACAATAGTTCAGGCATGTCCAACTTCAAACAGGTTGTGATCGACTTTTTAGTGTCAAAACTGCCAGAGATCTACCACGCCCTCCTATCGTCGTACCTTTGTTTAAGCAAAAATATTGGTAAAAATAACACAACACTTGATGTTTGTTGTAAAAGCAACATACATTGAAAGTACAGAAAAATAGGAATGACATACGTATTTTCCCTTCAAAATCTGAATATAATCATATTTACAAGTGAATTTACATGATTTTCACGTATAATTTCTTTATAGGCATATGAGATCGACCAAAAATTGTCCCGCGATCGATGCGTTGGACATGCCTGCAATAATTGATGGATTATAAAACGGATATTAAAGTGATAAAATTTGGTTTTATTTACCATATCACACTATCTGTTTCAAACTGCAGAGATCATCATCAGGTGGTCTTCAAATACATATCTTTTGTCACTGAACTGAACTGAATTTTATAATCAATTAAAAAAATACCTTTAATACAAGATACACATCAGGATGGTAAAAAGATATTCAGTTATTTTGATGTATGAATTAACAGAGGAGACTATTTAGCATAAAATGACATGATAAGATGGTTGCTTATAGGGTTTTAGGTGGTAATGGGAGAAAGTTGCCATAGCCTACTGCAAGATACTCTACCTTCTTTCAACAGAAATAAGTAATGTAAGATAGCCTTGACAGAGTCTCTATGACTGAATACAGAATGAGACATGAGTTGCACTACACAATATAACGTGGAAGGCCAGAGTGTTACTAAGCAGCGACTCAGTAAACAAACCTCAATAATAAAGAGACTGTTTTCTATGGGGTCTTGCCACAACTGTTGCTATGCAGTGGTTCAGTAAACACGTTTCAACAACAGAGGCTGGGTTTTCTGTGGGGTCCGTGTAAAGGAGTTATCTTGAAAGCAAACGGCACTATGATTCAGTTCTGAGTTCTTGGTAGGGGACAGACATGGGAAATTCAAAGAAGATCTGTGAAGATTGTAAGTGTAATTAGACTTTATTCATGTGTAATATTTGGAGTGCGTGATCCATTGAGACTGTTATAGTTTCTGTGTTGAGATCCACTGCCAGGAGACGATTAGTGAAGACTGGGAATCCTAGTGTGTGTTCAATGGTGAACTGGAAAGTGTGTAAATCAGTGATAGAGCTGTACTGACTGTATTTAAGTGTGATTAAGAGAACTTGTAATCAATGTGCTAATAAATCCAATCATCCAAAGTAGAACCCGTCATTTTCATCATGTGTACCACCCTACACATGACAATATCATACATAAAACAACGTGATAACACAATCTCAACTTACACTCCATGTGGTATAAATAAAGAGGTGGTACACATGAACGTGCAGTGCAAGAGACCCATAACATCATGACCTGGCGCCCAGCTACATCATACCCACAATACGAAAGAAGAATAAAGACAAGAATAGCCAGTGTACTGTTACAATAGTCAAATAAACATTCACAACCATCTTGAATTATTTATTCAGAAATACATAAATTGACAATTTAATATGAACCCATGCACACTGGGGTTTAGTACTAACATTCTTTTAACTTTATTCTTAATTAACTTTAAATTAATTTTCAATTAACTTCAATTTAATTTAATTTAATTTTATACCAGTATGGCTTAAAGCTGAAAAGTAAACAAACCAGAGGTTCACTAGTAAGGAATAATCACATAATCATATGGTCAAATATGAAGAAAAATATGGATCCATACTGAACAAAAATTCAGCATCTAAGTACACAGAGTACACCTGATGGTGACCCAGTAGGGGTTGAAACATATTATGATTAACATTAGTGTAAATAACCTTTGTTATTACTTTCACCTGAATTGTTTTGTTGATGGAGAGAAATATACTGCTAGGAATAACTGATGTACACTATAAAAAACCTCAATCTAGGTGGTGTCAGACAAGATTAGTAACAAGTAATTCATGGAGCTTTGTAACATAAATAAAGGAATTAAATGTTCACAGCAGTAGCAACATACCTTCCGGAAGTCTCCTTGCACTACCATAGCTGGTGGTTCCTTTGGCCTCACACCTGAAGAGCTTGTACCAGGAACCTGTGATACCTGGCGCCGGGGGCTTGTGGCCATCTCTGGCGTCGTCTCCCGTCCCTCCTATAAGGAAGACAATGAAGAAGTGGTGAGCAGAGGACTGTTAGCAAAAATACAACTCTCATTTTTGTAACAAGTGCAACAACAAATATCCATTATGTAAAAAAAACAGTTATAGTATATTCAAATGCAGTTATTTAGATTAAATTCAATCTGTAATTATTACTTGCAAACTTACAGGTTTAAGTAAGCTATGATTTAGAAGTTATGTTGTAACTATAAAAATGATTAGTTAAATAAGTTTTTATGTCAGTAACTTTTGTTTACTGTGAAGCAGAAACCTTCATAAATGCATCCCATGGCTAAAAAGTTGAATTACTGGATATTACAATTACAGACACCAAAATTGTGATATTACTGTGTTTGTTTTTGTAAAAATTATTCTGTATTGTTGCAATATAATATTCTAGTTTATTTGTATATGTGTGTATTGTGTTTATTGAATCTAAACTGTAAATTACTGGAATGTTTCATGTATTATTGATTTTGTACTGAAGTTCATCAAAAAACGATTTTGATTGAAGTGTTCAGTACAAAAGTAAATTTAATACCCTTGAAACAGGGAACCAGAAAAATAATTAATAAAGCCATTGCTCAATTTCATCATCTATTAGGTGATTAAATGTGTGAACCTGCTTTCAAAGATAGGGGTACAAACTATAATTTTTTTATATTTTTATAAATATCTTTGAAGTTAGTCTTCCTATTCAGAAAATAACTGCAGGTAGAATAAAAAACAAATGGATTACACAAGGAATAAAAATATCTTGCAAACATAAAACAGATTCTATATACATATGTACACACACATACATACATATAGCAGGAGCAGTAATAATCCACACATGAGAGCTTATTGCAAAATTCTAAGCAGAGTTATACAAGAAGCTAAAACACAGTATTACTATAGGCTTATGGCAAAATCATATAATCAGATAAAAACAACCTGGAATATAATAAAACATCATACAGGAAAATTACACGTGACTGAACAGACACCATCTCTTCTTATACATGATGAAGAAGTAAATGACCAAGACATAATTTCTGAAGCCTTCAGTACTTTTTTCTGACAATTACTGAAAATCTAAACTTGCATCAGGAAGTGAGAGGTGACGTCATTTCATTTTCAAAAGAGGCATTTCCTAGAAAAGTCCCTGGTATGGAAACCATTCCAACCACTAAAACTGAGATAAAAAACATAATACATTCCCTCAAAACAAAAAACTCATCAGGTTATGATTGAAGAATAAGTAAAGTTTTAAAGGTTTGTGCATCCTTAATCAGTCACCCATTAACTCACATTTGTAATCACTCACTATTCACCAGGACATTTCCTGATAATCTTAAGATTTCAGTAGTAAAACCACTGTACAAAAAAATGGGACAAAATTAATATGTCAATTTCATTACTGATTTCTCTGAAGTATCTGAGAGAATTATGCACAATAGGTTAAGCCATTATTTGCAAACTAATAACATACTAGTCCCAGAATAGTTTGGCTTCAAGAAAGGAATATCCACTGAAAATGCAACCTTTAAACTAACAGGCAGTGTATTAAAATCTTCTAATTAACAAATGCTTGTGGTGGAGTATTCTGTGATTTGACAGAAGCTTTTTTTTTTCCATGTAAATCACGAAATTTTATTAACTAAATTACTTTCATTTTTCTTTACATTCAAGGAGTAACAGGAAGTTGGTTCAGATCCTACATAACAAATAGAAAACAAATGATTGAAATAAAATCATCAAATTTAACCCAAAGTGCTTAATCAATTGGGGAACAATAAAGCATGGAATTCTCCAGGGGTTAATTTCAGAGCCTTTGCTTTTCCTAATCCATATAGATGACCACCCTCCTACACTAAAGACCTCATCAATACCCATAATATTTGCTGATGACACTAGTGTCTTAATTTCTAGTAAAAATTTAGATGATTTCTGCATACCATCAAATAAATTTCTCTCTCAAATGAGCAAATGTTTTGTTTTTTTTTTTCCAAACAAGCCATCCCCGAATCTAGATAAAACAAATGTAATAAAATTTATAACAAAAACTCGCCACAATATCCATTAAACATTGGACATAATGATAAATATATACAAGAGACAGTAAACACAAAATTCCTTGGCTTATGAATTGAATTTTTGAGTTAAGTTATTTTTGATGTGAAGTTGTTATTATTTGACATGTCCAATTGCAATTCTCTACAGCTATGGATGAAATAAATAATAATCATCATCATCATCATCATCATTATTTACACTGGAAAAACCATCTCGATCAGTTGGTTCCAAAGTTAAGTGGAGCATGTTATGTGGTTAGATCTACCAGTATATTGCATGTCAGCAACACTGACACTCTCAAATCAATTTATTTTGCTTACCTTCACTCTTTAATGAAGTATGAAATAATTTTCTGGGGTAATTCATCTGACAGCGATAAGGTATTTACATTGAAAGAGAAAATTATTAGACACATGATGGGTGTCAAAATTCTGTAATTCTTGTAGAGATCTATTTAAGAGATTAGAAGTCTTAACTCTTCAATACTGTGCAAAGAAGTCTTCATGTGTGCTGCAGCAACAGTGAGACTGTTATAAATCTGTTACCAGGATAACACTAGTGAAGGCTGAAAACCTTAGTGTGTGTATAACGTTAAACTGTAAAGTGTGTATATCAGCAATAGTGCTGCATTACCTGCAGTCCCAAGCTGAATACATAAGGTGTCAATAAACCCAATCATCCAATTCTAAACCCATCTATAAGTCATGCACACCCTCTACACATGACTATATCTTCATTAATAAACTTCATTATAAAGATTAACATTTTTAGACCACTGCAGATGTACACGGTGTTAATGCAAGACAGAAGCACTATCTCCTTAAACCAGCTGCTAACATCACATGCTTTCAGATAAGAATATACTCTACTGGGATCAAAATTTTCAATAATCTGCCATCTGATCTCAAAAGTCTTATGATGAAAATGCATGATTTAAAATAGCACCGAAACAATACTTAAACGCACGCTCATTCTACTCTCTTGATGAATACCTATTGTCTAAAAAGTGAGTCATCCAAGTAAACATTATATACGAGTAAATAGCATAAGTTGACGGTATTGATGTCTATATATTTTTGATTAGCCTCATGTGGTACCACTGTGTGTTTTTTTTTTTTTTTTTTTTTTTTTTTTTTTTTTTTTTTTTTTTTTTTTATATTCTTGTGTGAAAACTTCAGTTCTACTGTACATATGTTTTTGTATTTACATGGCATAGTCCACATCCTACAGCCATTTTGACTAACTCTGGATCCATGGAATGTAATGCAGTGTAACATAAAGTACAAACAGTTATTACTGTGCTATTGAGTGCTGAAACGAAACCACTGTCCAGTTTGAGGGTGCACGCTTCTTTGCATTTTGTGATGCCTTCAGAAATATCTAATCATAAATGAAACTTGAATACCAGAAATATTCCAGTCTGTTCCTTAGCATATTCAATCCACTGAATGCCATGAAATGAAAATGATTCTTAGCTAAGTAAGACAGCACACAAGATGGGTACATGAAGAGGAAGACTAATGCTATGTAGTCTCTATACTGGTGTGTGTTGTTAAATAACCTTCTTAATGAGTGAAGTGGAAGTAGATCAGAAAAAAATAGCCAGTGAGGAGCTTCCCAGCCTGTATTGTTTGCCTAAAATTTTCATCTTGATTAATCACGGGAGATGAAGTGGGCAGTGCATGTAACATACACCTGGCAAACATGTATATGAAATTTAGGTTAGAGAATAATGAAGAAGAGGCCTGTTGTAATGTGTAGGCAGAGATTGCAGAATAATGTTAAAATAGATCTTGAAGAAATTAAACATGAAGTTGTGAAATGGATACAGTTATCTCAGGATAGGATAAGTAAATGTGACGTTTGCAAGATGAAGGTGATAATCTGATCACGGAATACTCTGCAACATGGGCTTGATCTGTCAGTGAAATAAATTCTTCAGTATTAAAGAATTTCAACAGCTTGATACCCTTTCCATTAGAAATGATGAGTCATTTCTCTCATCAGTTGTATTTCACTTCACGTAGCTGTCACACAGCAAACATCTTAAAGAAAAGCAGTGGCACACACACAGAGAACCTGCATAAAATAACACGTGAGCTGTGCTGAAAGCAAGAGGTAGCCACTGCAGCACATATAAACATAGAGCAAGTATCTCTGTGATTTTGGTTTTTAAATCTAAATTTAAATTTTAAATATTACCGCTAAATGAAAATTTTAAATTTTAAAACAATCGACGTATGAATTGACAAAATCGACAAGGGGGGTTTTGGAATATCAGGTGCTGATTGACGACAGAAAATGAACAATTGGAAATCTGGAATTTAAATGTTACTATTGAGTGCAGTGTGGCAGCTACGTGAAGTGAAATACACCTGATGATGCCCGATTACGGCTGAAACATGTAGTGTGAAAGAAGGGGGACAAGAACTAGAATAAAGTGTTACATTTACGACAGAGTTTATATTATACATATAGAAATAGGATATAATGATAAATATATAGAAGAGGGAGTAAACACAAAATTCCTTGGCTTGCAAATTGATAATCATTTAAAATGGAAAAAACATAGCAATCAGTTGATTCCAAAGTTAAGTAGAGCATGTTATGCAGTTAGATTCATGTTACATATTAGTAACATAGACACTCTCAAATCAATCTATTTTGTTTAGTTTCACTCTTTAATGAAGTATGGAAAATTTTCTGGGGTAATTCATCTGACAGTAAAAAGGTATTTACATTGCAAAAGAAAATTGTTAGAATCATGATGCATGTCAAATCCCGTAATTCCCTGTAGAGAGCGATTTAAGAGACTACAGACCTTAACTTTGCCTTGTGAATATAATATTCATTAATAAACTTCATTACATATAACAAAGTACATTTTCAGACGAATGCAGATGTACACAGTGTTAACATAAAACACAAACACTGT